ACACTCGTGCAACGCTCCATCACGTCATCCCACGAACGCTTTAATGTTACAGAAAGTACTTCAAAAGAAGCTTTTACTCTCCCCTTTTTCTTCTCCCATCCTTTCATTCCTTCTCCCATCATCTCCCTCCCTGTCTTCGGACGGTCCTGTATCTACATGGATTATCTGCATCACTCCTTTCCTCCGTCTGTCTTTGCCTCATTTTAAAATCAACATCCTACTTTTACACTGCACTTAAAAGGAAAGACTTTGCCCTATTTTGGTGAGGGGAGAAAAAAAAAAGCAGCCCCACCATACGGAATTAAATCTCTGTGGCGTACACGGTTCAAAGGAGGCTCTGGCAAATGTGAGTCTGAACACATTCTGGGTGTTGCAGAGCAGAGCACCGATTCAGTTTCAGTAAATTACCTTTTCTATCTGCTGCCATTTATTGACATCACCCGAATGAAAAACAGGAAGGTGGTGCCCCGGGACCAGGCCGATGGTCGTGACCGTCTTATCTGCTGTCGTCACGAGTCCTTGAGTCGTAGTTATCTTCATGTCACTGAAAATTACAACCGCTCCTGCATATTTAATGCAGATTTCATTATTAAAGTTTGATATTGTAGATTAGCGTTACCACGGCATCATTAGCGTAAGATCACGTGTGCACTGTTGACGGCATTCACTCCCAGCGGCAATTCATTAGTTCCAGCACACTGGAATAGAGGCACCACATCAGTTCTTAGTGGATTTAACTGTATTAAAGATGACGTTTTTTAAATCATTAATATTATCTCCTGTAGGATTATAAGCTAATGTTTATTTACAAATGTCTAATTACTCAGTGGTCTAATGACCCAGTGCTAATTGTCTGACTTTGTTGTAAAGTTTACAGCATGTTGGCTAACATTCTTTAAATGTGATTTTTTTATAAATTATGGAATTATTAAGAAAAATATTCAAAAAGGATCAACCAATCAAAATGTAGCTTCATAAAGTTTTGTGTTCTAAGTTTTTTCTGTGCCTCTTGTCGGTGGGTTTGGAACGCAATTTTCTATATGGTTGACATATAGTCTCCACAAACACATGCTGTGTGTCAAGATGGTCATTTAAGCTCAAAGTGGTGAAACGGTAACTTCCCCACAGTGTGTATAAATGCCAATGTGTGTAACAACTGTGTTAGAGCAACAATAAGATGGGCGGTGTATTTATTGGATATAAAATAAGTGTCATTCTGTCTTTATATTTAATCAATTGTCGCACTTTTTGACAGACCTAGTTCATATCTAATATGTTTTGTTTTCATCATGTCCTGCCTTCAGATGGAGAAAGTGGAGAAAGACGTGATTTGCTCCAGGTCTCTCAGAGAGAACCAAGCAAAAGAGTTCTCGGAGCAACTTGATGCACTCCGACACAAATACGAACAGCAGGTGTGTATGAGTTTGTTACTTCCTGTCCTCCTGTCTCCACCGTGCCTCTCTGCCTGTACCTGCTCGTGTAAACAGTCGTGTTAGTTCAGTGCTGCCGCTGGATCCAGGGGGAAGGATTCTGCTCATGTTTCTATCATCGCCATCACATTGTTATCTTTCTCCTGTCTGCGAACACCAGGCCTGCTGGAGCCGAGGGGACCCACATCCATGTGGAGTTGTCTTGTTATTCGTCCCCATCTGTTCTGCCTGATTAATTCCTCCTGATACGGGACACGCTTTAGATTAAGCTGAAATTGCAGCTCAATAAACATCTCAAATATTTCCAGTTGCACAAATGCAATCTGCACAGCAGATGTGGGGTCACTGTATCACTCCATCTTATCACTCCTCTTTTCAATGAGGAGAATAGAATCAATTTTTTCTTATCTAATTGAAATCTGTTTTTCTGTAAGGAACACATTTCTAATAGTGTATATGATTCAATTAAACCTGTTCTATATACAACCAGACGTCAATGCAGCCACAGCTGATACTTTAACTGATCATTCAGAAACTCAGGAATTCCTACAAAATATAAATAAAACCATTTGTAGTTTTATATATATATATTGTTGAAATCTGATTTGCCCCTGTGGGACAAATACAGTAAATATTATATATATAGTGCCCTGCCCCCCACTTTGAAAACCACTGAGTTAAAACAAAGACATAAGACAATTAGTAGGGAGCAGAAAATGTAATACCAAAGGACTAATTAAAAAATAGTTTCAATTAAAAACTGGAATTCCAAATGTATAATTAAGTGATATGCAGAATAGGAAATGATGCTCTGCATAGCAAATGATTGTTTGCTCGAATAGAATCTCCGTCCACATATGCAGTGTATACCTGAACTGCAGTGGAATATGAAGTGATTTTGAATTATTTAAATCTCACAAACAAATGCATCTCCCAGTGCCTCGACGACAGCGCACAGAGAGGTTTCACAGGTTTAAAGAACTCTCCTCACCTTTTTTAGTTTGTAACAAGGTTGATTTTAAATGAACAAACTAACCCTCTGCCTGTCTTTTAATAAGCATACCAGCACTCATGTCCAGGCCGCAGGGAGTTTACACTGCATGTAATTGGCTGTAGATTGTGGCAAGTAAAGGCTTAAAGACTAGTGTTTGCGGTTGGAAAAAGTGAAAAAGTGAAAAATCACATTTTTGTCACTGATTCGCTTCACTTTTCATTCACCTGCTTTGTTTTTTTATATATGACAAACCTAGAAAAACACCTTCAGTTTAATTTATAGTTAATCAATAATAATTGAATATCATGATGAGAATCTGAAGAAGGTTGAAACGACTGTAGTTCATTCAGTTGATGGTGTAAACTGCCAAGGAACTTAAAGGAAGATTTCATATGTGATTACGCTAAAGAAAAATACACCTTTATGGAATTATATTAGTAAACATAAAGTAAACTTTTTGTTTGTTGTTTTATCATTTAGATGTGATTTGATTTGTAAAACTATGAAATATATATATGTTTATATATAGAAATATGTATACATGGATATATATATAAATATATATGTATATAACTAGTATATCAAATCTTGCTGAAACAATATGCGGTATCTGACAGTTGTTATCATAACATAACATATATAAATCAGATACACAGCAGCTCCTCACAAGTTTAATGTTGCGACTGTTGTCATTTACGACGCTGCTTATTCATAAATGCTTCTTTTCTTCTTTTACGTATTTACATATGCTGCTGTGGAAATGATGGCTGTCAAAGTGAATTTCATTGTATAGCATTTTACAGTGACAGTGAGGAATTTAACTACCCGCTGTATTAAGAGTGGGGGGGGGCGGTGTAGTTGACAACTGAAGACAACAGAGAAGCAGCCGATCAGGATGCTGCTGACAAAAAATCCAAGCGAGTCTGTCTTTGAAAACGGTGCTGATTTGAGCTGTGATGACATACAGTTCAGTTGGAGGTAAATACAGAAGAGAATAACTGCATCTCAGTATTCACATTACACTGTGGCTACTGTGAGAAGAGCTGTTGTTATGTCGCATGTAGACTGGCTCTGAGCTCCATCACTAGCCTTAGTTCCGTCTGGAGCGTTTCTTACATGCTCGTGTGCGTAATGCCTCCGCGCCGAGGGGATTTGTGTCAGAGGGATTCAGATGCTCACAAAAGAACTGCCCCCTCAAGGGCAGATTCAGTGAGACTTTAAAGAGGCAGACTGCATGGTGGAGTTGTTTTCCAGCTGCCCTGTGGGTCAGCGGGACGTCATTGTTGCCTAACAAAGCCCCGCTTTTTGACGTTGACGCAGTAGGGCCAAGAGGCTGGTGCAGAGGAATGACCTTGAGAGTTAAGGGGAAAGGTCAGTAGTACTGTTCTTCAAGTCAGACAGTTGGCTGTTTCACTCACGGACGAGATACAGTATTTACACTGACAATAAGAACTTTGTTTTTAAACCATAATAGAAGGAAAGTTGTTGACACTAAGTAACATTATAATAAAATAAAATAGGATTAGACTTTATTAATTCCAGCAGAGACACATGGGAAGGACAGAGTAAACATAAATAAATAAAAAAAAGTTAGTGATTTTTATGTATTAAAATAACCCTTTTAAATGAATCAGCATTAAATAATTAACAGACACATGGGAAGGACAGAGTAAACATGAATAAATAAATAAAAGTTAGTGATTATTATGTATTAAAATAACCCTTGTAAATGAATCAGCATTAAATAATTAACGATAACAATAAATTGGCAGCTAGCAATAACAATTAACAGGAGTGAAAGTGAAACATATAACAGTATGTGATGGAGGGGTGGTGGTGGAAGATGCATCAATAACTGTGGTGCACTATGGGTACTGCATTTCTGTAAAGGTATCAAAGGCTGCTTTGTGCAAATTACAAAAGCATGGTTCTAAAAACTCGGTCTGTTTCTAGAAAATTCCTGCATGCGGTTCAGATCTGTCTGAGTTCTACTTGCACCAGAGTTTTTTTTTTTTGCATACTTTTTTGACAGTGTTTTGTGTTTTCCAAGTTCACCCGCCCTCGTGGAGCGCTCTGCGCCGCTCAGTCGCTTTCTCCTGAACACTTCACCCTCGCAGAAAGAACACAAATGGCCGCAGCCTCTCCTGCTGAGACCAGACAGGTCCTGTGTTCCCTTCTGTTCTCCTCACTCCTCGTCACCCTCCTCCTCTCCCCTTGTTCTCTATCATTTCAAATATCCCCCCGAGGCTGAACCAAGTCCATTACCTCACTGTTCAGAGTAAATGTCCACCGTCCACACACAAACTCTGCTTGTCAGACCATGGTGACAGGAGTCGTGCTGTGCACTCACACCCGAGCCACTGTGGCATCACGATATGCTATAATCCACTCAGGTTTTCTCTATAAACCCCATACCGGCCCCTTTAAGAACCGCAGCACCCAGCATCCTCCACTGCACGACATGATGTCACAACCAGGCGTCTTGCTGTGTTTGCCTACTGTCATCGCCTCGGCTTGTTTTTCGCCGTTTCTGTTTTTCTCACAGTGGATCTCTCTTGTACATTTTTCTCGGCCTCGTTTCACCTCAGATCACCTCCTTCCATCAAAATGCCCTTTGACTCAGATCCTGAACTGGAGCGGACAGACAGCCAGGATGTCACCCCACGTTTTTGGTTTTTTTTTTCTCCTGCTGGGGAGTTTGACGGGCAGTTGCGATCTTATCAGTGAAACTTGAGTGAAATCCAACTCTGCAAGAACTCACTGTGGATTTCACTACGATCTAGACAACGTTAGTGTGGACAGTAGCTCTGTGTTATGTCATGTGGACTTCTACACCAGATATTTCTAAAAGAACTTGTCCTGTTCCACGTTGCATCAACAAATGCCATGTGCATGAGGTACCTTTAGGTGGAGCGATACGTTCGTTTTTGTGTTGGTGTTTGTGCCTCTGTTTAGACCTTTGGAAGAACGATTCTTAAAAGCCGAAGGGGAATTTCTTTGCAGCCAAACAGAAGTGTCTATTGTGGCCTTCGTTCTTGCGTTGGGGACAGAATCCGGTGTCCTGTAGATAGACGCTCATTCATCACCTGCTCTGAATAGCATGCAATATCCTGAAGACTGGGCCTGGGATGGCCCGGGCAGTGGGCATAGAGGCTGCTTCTCCGCTCCTCTGGCAGGCCAGGTAGGGTGCCGTCAAGCACAATGTGCAGGGGATTAGCTTCAAAGCGGGGAGGCAAATGAGCCCCAGGCTCCTGCTGTCCTTTCAGGGCTGCGGCTGGAGCTGCTCGGCGGGACGGTTTTGGGGGTCACTGGTCCTCCCGCCATGGGGGAGTGGGAATGGGACGAGGCATTGGAAAGGCTTTGGGTTTGGGGCTGGGAGCTGCGTTTGCCTATGCTCACCTCTCAGCAGGTGACTCCGCTCACGGCAACACTGGGACTTGTTTTGGCTGACAGGATGATTAAGCCCTGAAAAATTTGGAGGTTTGAATCCCATTGATGTGTTTCATTTCCCTTTACTGTATTGTGAGCAGTCGAAGAAAATCTTCACCGACTCTAAGTATTTTGCTTTTAAAAAAAAACTTATATTCTGACCAAGTCATACTCTGTCAGTCGCACAGATCTATCAGCGAGCGCTCTAAGAGTCATAAAATACTGTTAAACTTGGGAAACGAATGGCTTTACATTGTGTCCTTATGACACTTTTGGTTTTTATTTGATTCACTTCATAACCGTTTTCGAATTCCCTGCCTAAGCCGATTTTCGCATGCTGTCAGACGCATAGCATGGGGCAGTGGGTAGCGATTACTGCCAGATGGCTAACCCCTGCCAGCTTGCAAGCCTAGTCCAAACTCTTTTATACGCCGATTTCGTAATAGTTGTCGGGGGGGAGACTTAAAAAGAGAGAGAGGAACAGGAGATTGAGGGACAGTCCATGGAATTGGCAGCAGAGGTGGGAGGGTGGGGGAGTGGTGGAGAGTCGGATGTAAACACATACCATCGTGTTGTCCGTGGGGGCAGCAGAGAAACTTTTCTCGTGTTTTGTCCTCCACCAATTTTTCCCAAACCGTTTGGACAGACGGGCGTTTGAGGTGAGGGAGCGCCATCGGGATGAAGGATGCTGAAAGGACGGATGGATTGGTGGATGGACAAGTTGTCATGACGACAGGGGTTTGCTCCGAGTTTGTGTTGGCTGATGAAGTCTCTCCTTGCGTGCTTGTCCAATCAGATGGCTGAGCAGAGCGCGCAGAATGAGCAAGAGAGGACGCGGCTACAGCAGCAGCACAGCATGGAGAAGGACCGCCTGGTCCAGGATCAGCAGCGGGAGGTGAGCAGCCTGCAGAGGGAGGCCAGGGCCGCCTTACAGCAGCACCAGCAGCACACCCAGGAGTGGAAGAAGCGCGATGCCCAGGTAGGGGGTCTTCACTGATCCATGTTTGCACACACATGCTGACTCTACCGCGACGAACCCTGTCGTATTTTGTCCCACTGATGTTTCGCAGCGGGTTATGAGCATTTTTTAAAATTTTTTTTTATTTTTAAGAATTACTGTTTGTGACATTTTTTCCTTCCATTTAAAAAAAGTTAAATCATAAATCAAGAGCCTTTTACTGTTTTTCAAAAACAAGTTCCAAATATTAAACAAATATAACAATGAAAAAAGTTACAGTAAACAAACTGTTTTAATTCCAAAATCCTGGGCTGAATATTTTTTCGCTTTACAATTTACGGTCGCAGACCAGCGTCAAGCGGCTTTCAGCGCCGCCTGAGTCTGCGTGGCGTTGCCCTTTCACCGCAGGTATCCTTCTGTTATGACTGGGAAATGGTGGCCATTTCTTCAAACAGCTTAAACAACCACATTCGTGCATGAGGTTCGTGTCTTGACATCTCTGACAATAAGAAGAAACTCAGTTTCCATTTAGCTAAAACAGCAGCAGGTCGTGAGCTCGTGCCCTCGGTTCAGTTTCCGCCGTCTGGTCGAGCCCGGCATCTCTGTGGGAAACCATTTGCTAAATCCACCCCCCCACTCAGCCTGGAGATGTGTCTGAGCCTTTTATCACAAATGGATTCGTCCTCGTCATCTTATTGAAATCAGGTGGATTTGTATTTATTGTTGAAATAATTTTGTTTCCCGCTAAGTTCTCCGCAGAGACGGCGCCTTGCTCTAATATCAACCGCTGTTCATGTCGTACGTTTTTACTGCCACAGTGCGGTAAAGTCTCGTTTGAGCAACAATGATTTACTTTTAAAACATTTTTGGTCAAATGCAACATTATTTTTGACACACGTGAATGTTTTTCCCCTCCGTGATCTTTGGTCATTTATGAAACTACTGGACGATCCTACGAAATACCAAAACCTCCGTTTATATCATTATATCCTACGAAATACCAAAACCTCCGTTTGTATCACAGTGTTTGTTGACTTTCCTGAATTTCCTATAAAAAAATCTTCTATTAATGATTTTTTTAATGATTGTGACAAAAACCCAACTTATATCATCTCATCCTGTTTGCTCATGTGATTTAAAAGGAGATTTTTTTTCTGGTGTATCAGATGTAAACATGACAAAAAAATCCACTTCTTTCCCTTTCTCTGGAAAATACCAAGGACAGGCTTATAGGATTTTAAAATAAACTGACGTTAATGTGGAAAAGCTTGACTTCCTACACAGGTTGCGTTCAGTGACGTGCTATTAAAATGTCTAGAAGTTGACGCAGCGTTTATGAAGAGGAGATGATTTAAATTCAACACGTTCACTTATTATTTAACACTTTTGCACAACCAAGGTTGTTTACCCCTTGAGAACTCTCCCCCGTCACATTAGCACTCACCCACAGCAAGGAAGGCCCTTCACTGACATCCTCTCTGTGACAAAGTCAATTTACTGTCAAGATCCAAGCGGAATATTTGCTTTCCAGCTCACGCTGCAGCGTCTTGTCTTCAATTTCCTGTGATTTTGGACGTCCTTGTGTTTTTTTCCAGAGCCTTGAACAAAAACATTCTGCGCAGACAGTTATATTATCATTTATTGACATGTCAGTAATAGGCAGCAGATATGTTTTCCTGGAAAAGGAACACAAAGCTCGTATTATATCAGGAGGTTTTTGGGTTTTTTTGGTTATTTTTTGTTGTTTTTTTTTTTTTTTTGCGCTTTTGGTTTGTCTTCCTGGAATCACTGGAAGGACAGTAACAGTAACAGCAAGGAGTTTGGATGAAGGAACACTGGATGTCAGTCACACACACACACACTCAGGATGAGTAAGAGACACTCATTCTCCTTGATGTGGTGGCACAGAAATAAATAGCATTCCTGACTCCTGCCTTGTGTTTGAGCAGCAGAGGCAACGAGTCGTAGCGACTGGACCGGAGGAGACCAGGACCGCCTTGAACAGGGACAGTGTACTCATTCAGCTGGACTGTCTGTTAGAGGAGACACTGTCACTGCGCCCCCGGTGGAGACGTTCCCCACCACCTGACACACGTGTCCTGGACAGGAGTTCAGTCTAAGCCAGGCCTAATTTAATGAAACAGAGTTTGGAATCCCTTTAATCTTGAAATATAAATGGTTTACCGAGATACTCATACACATCTTAATTGTTTTAGTGGATTACTTTCAAAATACATATGTGCTCATATGTTCATGCTCCCTCTTTTCTCAATACTCGAATACTTGAAGTGTTGACCTACTATCTGCAAAAGTAAAATGTGGAAATAGGATGCAGATTGTCTATAATAATAATAATAATAATTTAAAATTAAAAACAGTAAACGATGAACCACTCTGAGACTGTAATAAATAAAAAGCAGTAACGACGTGGGGATCATTTTCTTATCTGTAGCTGTGATTCCCTGGACGTACCTCTGTGACTCAGTACAACTTCATCAGATTACAGTAGCATTAACCTGCATCCATATATTTTGCCATCAGTCCACGGTGATGACATATTTTGCTGATAAATCATGTCTGCCTGCAGGAGGTGCTGTGTTGTTCTGTTTGCTAAATACTGCCCACTGTAGGTTGCAGTGTGCACACATGTACACCAAGTGTTTCCAAAACGAAATCTATCACACTGATATTTACTTTGCGGCTTAACCTTATTGATGTTATTGGTACACAAAAGATTGCGAGCGATGCGATTTTTTTTTTTACTCCGAGCTCTCCCGAAGAACACTTCTTAGGTGATGTTTACCTGAATATTAATGTTTTTTGTTTGTATTCTGCAAAGAACACACGCACATATGACGTGGACTTCAAACAGCGTTTGACAACTCAGCAGCCCTGTGAGGGTCTTTCTTCTGGGCCGTGATGGACTAAATAACTTCGCTCTCTTTTTTTTTTTTTTTTTTCAAAGCCTTTCAATCTTTGGTGTATGATTAGAGTGAGTCAAATGAAGAGGGTGATGACAGACTGAAGTCTGAGATAAGAGGATTTGTGATGACGAGACAAAGGCGGACAGTCAGTGCAGCATGGACATTGATTGTCCCTGTGTGTGTGTGTGTGTGTGTGTGTTGTTTTTCAAATGTTTGGTCCCAGAGACCTTAAATTGTCAAGTGAGCCTTTTGTTCTTACCCAGTGTTCCACGGAGCTGCGGTGTGTGTCTGTGATTCTTTAAATAATTTCCTTTCATCTTAACACACACTTCTCAGAATTTGTGTTACAACGTATTGCTTTATTGATGTTGTTGTTGTCAACACCTGATCACAGGTAGAGTAATCAGCGTGTGCTGTCACCAGTCTAATGTTTCAGCTGTCGGAGCGTCCCTTTCCATGGGTGAAGACGTTCTGTTTGTCACCACATCACACCCTGGATTTTGGCAAAGTTGTATCTTGCTGACAACAGAACTGATTCATAGACTGTGTGGTTAAAGACCAGGACTGCCAATTAATTAAATGCTGATTAACCGTGATTATTCAATATATAAATTGCCGTTCTTAAAATGACAATTTCTTTCCTGTTTCGATATATAAATTGCCGTTCTTAAAATGACCAAAAAATTTCTTTCCTGTTTCGTGCTGGTACAAAAAGAGAAATAACAGCAGGTTTTGTCAAGGTGTTACTCTCAAATTACGAACTCCAGCCCAGTAGGTGGCAGTAATGCACTTAATGTATGATTGCCAATAAGGAACATTTTTTAAAAGAAACATTTCACAACATTAAAATGGCTGTGTGCAAATATACAACAAAGTAGTTTTCTAATCACTGTAGTATTGATGCGATGCTAAGTCCAGATACCACCGCTAATGTTAGCTTTGGTATCTGGCAGCGGTCCAAGCCAGTCCAGAATAATCCAGATTAAAAATAAAAACATTCTTAATATAAAATCTTTTTAGCTGTAACTACAACTTGGATGTTGTAGAGATGACAACATTTATATGTATGTCTACAGATTGACTATCAAACTGGCTCTTTTTTATTATTATTAAATATTTCTTTCATAAGAATGCCATTCATTTTGATTAATGAATTTGCGAAGCCTTTCATTACAGATAATTACATTTACGATGAGAGTTTTCTCAGAACAGACATTCGAGTCCTGATTCCCAGAGGAGCACAGGTGTAACTTAAATAACTAAACTGTTCCTCTTAGGTGTGTCCTGAGACAAAACACAATACAGGGATAATGGCACTGGCATGTGTAGATTGAATAGAGCTATTATCAGTGTTATTAGTTACGCCTGTGTTTAGTAAACAGCCACTGTGAAGAAGGTCATCAGCAATTCATTTTGTTTGGTTATTAAACACTAATATATTTTCACTTCCAACACAGTGTTTACCACAATAAACGGACTTTTCATGATAATAGTAAATTATTTCCACTTTTCACGACAGGGAAATAAAGGTAGCCAGGTTTGAGGTTTCAGCTTTTGGCTCATAAATCAGAAAATGTATTTCACCAGGTTTGAGGTTTCAGCTTTTGGCTCGTAAATCAGAAAATGTATTGTTCCAGAAAGACCGTCAGGGCCAACAACGGAACCCTACAGGGTGGTACAGCAGAACTGTGATATTCCAGTCAGGAAGTTACGACAAACATGTTCTCTTTGACTGTAACAGAAACAGTACAGGGGTCTCAGACTTAGTTGAGGGCCACTGCTGCTTCCATCATTCCATTGATGCCACATCAGTGATTTTTTTTTTTTTTTTTGAAGAGCAAAAATCTTAAATTTTGACATTTAGTCATTGACCACATGCTAGGTTTTTTTGGGGGCCAGAAGTGGGCCCCGGGCCAGGGGTTTGAGACCCCTGGCATAGATAGTTTGTTAATAATTGAATTTTGTTGGATCCTGTAGCAGGAAGTGCTTTGAAAGGACTCGGGACACTGTGAGCCGTGTGTCCACTCGTGTCCCAGTCCTTCCAGTCTTTTATGATCTTTTCTTCTGACACATTGTGACCTGATATGGTTTCTTTCACACATTTATAATGTCATTTCAAGTTACTGCACAGAGCTCCATCTCCAGCATGTTAAAAAGTGAAGTCTTCCCTTCCAGAAATCAACCATTTCTTCCTCCTCTCAAGTGTCTGACTTGTCACTGCCAATGCCGCAGCTCCAGAAATGATACTCTAGCTTCATTTCACACGACAAATCAAGACAATCATTTTGTTCCGGAGACATTTTCCCACTCTAGTCTGCTGTGTTCTGATCTGATAGCTGCTCGCCCTTCAAGCTAATAGCAGAGTGACGAGACTGTTGGGAGTGAGTGAGAGTGGTGCGCAGTGATTAGGAGATGGAAACATTCTTTTTCTTTTTAAACCTTACTCACTCTGAATGTTTTTGCACGCCGTCATGTGAGTGTGACAGCCAGACCATGTGTGCTGTTGTGTGTCTGCGTACACAAACGTCTGTGGACGTGCCAGCGTAGGAGGGTAGAATCACACGGAGCCGCGGCAGCTGCCTGTTTTTGTGACACTCCTTTGAAGTCACTTTAATTCTCCCCAGCTCCAGCTTAAAAAAAGAATTTAGACACTTTGAGTCGGATTGACTTCGCATGACGTTGTCCTCGGATGCCCAGGATTTTAGCGAGAGGGAGGGGGGCGGGAGGCAGAGCTCACGGTGAAAACCAAATTAAGAAATAGAGTCATGCAGGAAGAGGAATAATGATGTGGAATATCTGGGGCAAACATGCACTGGTTGGGAAGAGTGAAACCCAGCAACTAGAATGTGCCTCTCACTGCCTCCTACACTGTGTTGTCTTCTCAGTGGAATCACCTTCTCACTGTTACATGTAATGCTCACAAATATTTAGGGACAGTGAACTTGTGATGTCCTGATAATTGGTGTAAAATATCTTTATTTAAACCGTGAAACCTGTAACACAAGCTGTAAACACATTAGAAACCAGAAGGAAGTGGCACGTCTGCCGTGCTGTGCTAGAAAAATGAACTTTGTGGTATTAGTTAAGGGCAACGGGCCCCTGAGGATAACAATGCTTTTTAATACTTTTTTTTAAAACATTTAATAATTTAAAAATAATCTGCATCACTTTTAATTTAGAGCTTCTATTTATTTGTCGAATGGAATGTGCCTGAATATGGAAAACTAAAAATTCCCGAGGCCCTAATTGTCTTGTATCGTCTTTTCCTGTATCAAAAATGTTATTTAATTAGGAAAAGTCACAAGGTAAAGACATGTTTATCCTCATGTTTATACTCATTCTCCACATTACATTAAGCGTATGGAACAACTTTGTTTTCATCTTCATGGCTTGACCTCATTTCCACGGCTTTGAGGTTACTTTAATTCTCCTGACGGCTTTATTCTTCTGTCGGTCTTTGTTATTTATATTTGCCGCTCTGCCAGGCTGTCAATTATTTGATATTTAACAGATTTTTAAAAAACTGGATTGAAGAGAAGGGCGGCATGTGTCGTCTCCTAAGCTTCCCTCTCAATCTCCATTTTCTTTCTTTTTTTTTTTTTTTTTTCAGCGTCTTGAGACGTAACTTCATTTCACTCTCACTTTTCACT